CCGTAGTTTAGAAATGCATAATATGATTCATTCGTGACTATAGAAGACAGTGTTTGAGAACTGTAATACAGTTTGGACATATTTCGCATTTGATTAGGTCCATAATATATTTCATATTTGGTTAGTTAGTGGGACTAAAATTGGTACAAGCTTTCTTTAATACAATTAGCAACATGTAGCAGAATCTGAAAAATATTTACAATAATACTTGACCCTTCCACAACAGAAATGTACAAACATGTTCACCAAAAACAGTACTACTGGTAAGAGCCCCGGACTGTAAACAACTCAATGTCTATAAACAGTAGGGTGGATTGATAAACTGTGGTATAGTCACAGACTGAAATGGGACACAGCTCTGGGGATAAACTACGATCATATACAACTGGGTAAAATTCACACACATAATGTTGAAGAGGCCAGACATAAAACAGCACATTGTTTATGACTGCATCCACATAAAGTTCAAAAACAGACAAAAATAATTCATGCTATTAGAAACACAGATATGAATTATACTTGGCATGGGGCAGGAAACAAAAAGAGGGCCTTTGTTCTGAGTGATGTTATTCAAGCACACTCGCTTTGTGAAAATTTACAGGGCTTTATATTTATGATGTATGTACTTTTATGCATGTATTTATATTTTACAAAAATAATACATAAAATATGCATAAAAATTACTTGAAGAATATATTTTAAAAACGTGTTCTTAAAGATTTAGTTTCATAGGGAACAATATAATGTTAACATATACAACAAGAGACAGAAATGTAAATAGAGCATGATTCCCAGTGTTATTTAAAAATAAGTTAATGCAGAGACAAAACACAGTGGGTCTGTACCAATATATTAGCAGTGATTATCTCTGGGTGGCTTATGAGTGAGATTTGTTTCTTTATATAAATGGACATTGCCTTTAGCTTAAGTGCGTATTAAAAGAATAGCCTTTCATCAACAGACTTTTTAAAAAGTTGTATTCGCTCTAGAATGTTTTTAAAAATCATCAGTTAGAACATCTTGAACCCTGTTGCTAAACCTGCCATAGCTGATGAGCTGCACACCATTTCTAAAGATGTGGGACTGGATCTGTCACCAAAAAATGCAGCAATTCCTTAGGATTATAAATTATTAATATAATAAGTTATTATGCAACCATATGAGTCCATTTTGGGCCTGAGGGAAACCATTAAATAAATGTGCTTGATTTTCTCCCTGGCCTCTTTATCAAAAGAAATTGAATGTCAGGAGAATAGACACATTATAAAAAGGGGAAGCATATTTCAATTGCTTAAAGATCTCAGCATTTAGGAACATAAATTATTATTCTGATTTCAACATTTATCCACGGGAGATCTCATTTTCTATTCAAGTCTGTTGTTATTCATGGCGTCCATTAATTCTGAATCTCTCAACAGTTCTAAATATTTATGATAACATATTTTTGTTCCTAGAAGCAGAAAGTTCCAATCAAAGTATGGAAACATGTGAACAATGTCTTAATCTAGGTCCAAATAGATGATAATTTATTGCAGTTAAGATGCTATCAATTTTAAGGCACATCTCTATGCATGGATGGATAAGAAAGAAAAACACTGACACACTATTATACTCCATTGACTATAAAATGCATCTTAATTTCAGAAATGTTAACATTTTAAAAATGCATTTTCTATTATTGATGAAATATGTCAATAAAATGCAGCATGATTTAAGTTCAAGTTATGTCCCATTAAATATTTTCTCAGTATTGGATAAAATAGGTAGTAATGTAAGCTACCAATAACCCTTATGGTGTCTTTGGGAAAATCACATTAAGGGATTACTTTTTACTTTACTGCTTTATACTGGAAAGCTTTGATAAGTATACAAACCTACGATGTCTATATTGTGAATAGTGCCCCTTAGAGACGGTGCCGTAGAACCTGTGCAACCATTTGTTAAGCATCTGTAGGCACACTGCCTATAACTATGTTAAGTACTTTGCAGAAATTCTTTTATTTCATCATCATAACAACCCTAAAAAGTAGGGAAATATTGCGATCCTTAAGGTGGATGCTGTTAGTGCCCCACTCAGATCCCCTTTATTGTCTTGTACACCCATCTCTGTGGTGAATGTTGGCTGCTAACAGCTCATAGCTTCCCCGGCTCCTGAAAATTGCCTCAGCCAAAAAGAAGCCCCTCCCAGTACACCGTGCCTCCCCCCGCCCCCCGACTCCGCCAAATACGCAAGTGCTGACCATCTTGACTCAGGGTGAGACCAACTCTGTGGTACAGTTCACACTCCAGAGCTCCCTGTGGAATCAGGCAGAAGCCAAACTCCATTCAAGACCACATCCTTGTTTGGATACTTTCCTTTCCCTTTTGCTGCCCTCACTCCCCTCCTCTTAAGCCCCTTCCTAGTAAATCACATGCACCTGAATCCCTCTCTTGGGCTCTGTAGGGAACCCAAACTTTCTTAAAAAGTTCTGAGTGAAAAAATTGAGTCTTTGAGAAATTTGGTAACATAGTCACAAAGTTAGCAAGTGATGGAGCCACACTGGAATCCAGATATGTTTGACATCAAAGCTCTGTTCTTAAGCTCCAGCTGACTAGGATCAGACAAATATTGCTCTACAAGCAGGTTGCTGCTCCTCCGTGCATCTGTACTTTCGGTTCCGCCATGTCTGTCAGCTCTTACACTCTTTTGTTGCAGAAGTGGAAGCACAGACTATTGAAGAGCTAAAGCAACAGAAATCGTTTGTGAAACTTCAAAAGAAGCACTACAAAGAAATGAAAGATCTGGTTAAGAGACACCACAAGAAAACCACTGACCTTATCAAAGAACACACTACAAAATATAATGAAATTCAGAATGACTACTTGAGAAGGAGAGCAGCTTTAGAAAAGACAGCCAGAAAGGATAGTAAGAAAAAGTAAGTTGAATGAGTAATGTTGGTTTTATGACACGAAGGAAGAGAGTCATTTACATGGATTTTTGATGTTTTGTACCATAGTTTGGATCTATACCACTGCAAGAAGGAAAGTCACCCAACTCCCTCCATTTTCTGTAGCTCTTGTGTTATCTCAGCTCAGTTTTGCCTGTGGACTAAATTTCTTTATTTGACCAAATTCTCAGAATAGATTTTCAGGAAGTCCTACCCTGGAGTTCTAGCCTAAGAGCCCAATACCAATTCTCTGACTTCCCATATTACGGCTGCCAAATTAGTGGGCATGAAATTTTTCCATGTACCTAGAACCTAGTTGAAGAGGCAACTCGTCTTACAGAAAAGAGAAGTCTCAAATATCTTTTGCTGCCCCATCTAAAACCTACAAAGCCCTCTACAGGTAACCCTTGTGTTTGTACCTAGTGGTTCCCCGAAGTCCCCTG